ATATATAAATATACGTGTATATTTGCAACTGCTACGTACTTATTTTCCACAGTGTGGTGCCCAATGTTTCTGCTGCAGCCTGAAATGGAGCTGCTGCACAGGAAGGTTGATTGGTGCAGTATTTAACACAGAGAAATGTTTTTCAGTGGGATGGGAGGAGGAGGAGAGGTAACACGGTAAAATCAGTTCTGCCTGAGACCACCAAAGGTAACTGTTGTGCTTTGTGAGGTCAGTGGCTGCTGGTGCCCTGGGTAAAATAGAGAAACAAACTTGGAAGACCTTCCCATAAAGAAACTACTCACCAAAATAGAAAAACACCCCTGGTCTGCAACTATTCCTATCCTCTTTTTACAGATAGGAGAAATTGGAGCTGAAGCTCTAAACACCAGAATGTCTAAATAGCAATGAGATTTTGGAAGTATTATAAAAGATATATGAAGTATCATAAAAAATATAAATTCTAAATTATAAAATTATAACTTAAACCATTCTCCCTTAGAGAAATTATAATATTGAAGGAATATGATTTACATTCTCATTTATGATCCTTGAAGCATGAGCCTTCCAACATACCTCTCTAGCTCCTGCCACCTGAAAATCTGAAAACCTGTATTAACTAGCCTTAGAAACTAGCCCTAGAAGTGTGACAGAGGGCAACAAGCTTGTATGAATTGATTACTCAGAAAGTTTGTGCGGTTGGTGAAATTATTAAGGAGTAATTTGTAGTCACCTACAAAAAAAAAGAGATACGAGGTTAAACAGATGCTGTGCTACATCTCACAGTCGAGATGTAGCCTCTAGAGAGGTTAGTTGAGATGTAGCCTCTAGATTATTTATTACTTGCATTCGAAATTAGACTTCAAAGCTGACCAGGCTTTGAGCAAAGGTTGGTGTAGATGACCTCTGGAGATGTCTTCCAACCTGAAATATGCTGTGACTAAGATTTTGGCATGTATCTCTCTTCAAGTGTATGTGTGGGGGGTATCTTTTCAAAATGCACAAAGGAGGCAAACGTGGTTGAAAAGTGAGAAGTGAGGAAAAAAAAAAGGGGGTTATGTTTGGGTTTGTTTCTTTTTTAGGTTTTGACATTTTCTAAGCAGTTCTTCACTAAAATGGTATAGCCCCTTCAGTTCTATGTGCTAAGTGAGGTTTATTGCAGGGTTGCTCATTATTGTAAGGTACTACACATACTCTGGACTATAAGGGCCTGCTGCAGTAGGTACAGACTAACTCTACATCCCTTTGAACTGCTCCAGCTCCTTCTCTTAGCTTATAGTTTTATTCCAGGTCAGACTTTTCCTGCAAAATCACAGCAACCTTTCTAAGTCCCTAAGGGTAATTTAGGTTTTCTCACAGATCCAACTGCCCTCCAGACTCTCTTGAGGAAGAATAACTGGAGAAAATATCAAACCTGGTGTTTCTTACAAAAAAAAAAAAAGAAACAGATTGGTCTCATTTAAAAAACATCCTTCATATTCCAGCTTTAAACGGGCATTTCTCATTTTGCTTTCTCCGTGCTCTCACCCTCCACCCCCTGTGGCAGCACAACAGCCCCAGGAGAGTTGAGCTGAGGAGGTCAGAGAGCAGCTCAGCAGTTCAGTGGGAGCATGGACAGTCCCACGCCATAGGCAGTCCGAGTGCTGTGTGAATCCAGAGGGTAAAGAGGTGAATATATGGAACTCCACCCCAAAGGTGGGAAATCAAAGCATGGCACACACAGGGCAAATAGGGAAGAAGCCAATCCCCGCTTTTCCTAGCTTTCTGCTCCCTTAGAGAATCACACAAGTACAAAACCATGAAAACAATAACCCCAGCTGCAAAGGCAATGAAGCAATTTGTTAAGGAGATGACATTTTTAATGAGAAACACTTGCTGGAGGAGAACAAAAGGCCCTGTTTGGTCAGAGAGATGCTCTTGATACTCTTCTGAAGTGCATGAAAAAGTAATTTCATTTAAGCGTCATACACAGAGCAGCTGAATTTCCTGGGGCTCCAGATGTTGTCCTGTGCAGATGCTGAACAAATGGAACTCTGTCTTGAAATGAAAAGAAAAAAGCAGGGCTCCCTAAACCAAAACCCATGCACCAGAGTATTTCACATCTTAAAAGAAGAAAGAAAAGAAGAGAGAGAAAGCCATGCAAATTGAGGAGAAAGGAAGTTCTTGAAAGCAGCAATGTTGGACATAGGATAAACTGTTCTTAATTGCCCTACAGATAATTGAAGGAGACGAGAATCTGGATTTGCAAAATACCAAGTTCTGGCTCTATCGTCTCTTTTTCTTGGCTTTGCACTGTTTCGCTTTGACAGTTATCTGGCTGTGATTACACTGGTTTGGGTTTTTTTCCTAGGAAGGGACAGATTCTGCACACTTTTATTAGGCCAGAAGTTACTGGAACTTTCCTGGGGTGAGCGGTGGACTCAGATTCAACAACTGAAAAACTATAATCAGTAGTTCACTGTATTGCTCACAAGGTAAAAACACAAGCCTGCTTCCTAACTTGAGATTATACAACTTCACTTCCTGAATTCTAGGGAGGACAAGGGGTTTAGTTCCTCAGTGGTAAAAGCTTTTGAAATAAGAGATCAAACCAAGATCAGCTCTCATATTAATGAAGACTAATGAAATATAATGACCTCAATATTCAGATACTTCATTCCTGAACCTTGGGATGGGTGACAGAAGTAGCTATAAATGATTACTAGGCTTTATGAGCCAAACAGGACCTATACAGATTCTGATGTAAATCAGAATAGCCTTAGGCCTGCTCGCTTGTGCTCTAATTTTTTTTTCTGCCCTTTTAGGCTCTGAAAAATGGAGACTATTCACTCTTTCTCCTAAAGCACAAATCTCCTTCTGACACAACATTATCCTTTTGCTAAGTGGTAGCAGATGACAGAATCTGAAGCACTGCACGAACATGAGAGCATTCCTACCTCTTACACAGGGCCCCTTCCCAAGAAGCACGGCTGTCAGACAACTCTGCCTATGAAAAAATGGTAATAAAAGCCAGGTTTGTGATGCTGGTCCATCAGCAGGTGGTACTGTGTAGTCAGTTTATAGTGAACAAAGTGAGAATGACATTGTTTTCAAGTGGAATTCAAAATAGGTGGTTAGCGTCACATCTGACACAAACCCGATGGGCAAAGCTGAACAACTGACACACCAGAGCACACACTAAACAAGGAGGAAGCAAGCCAGTGTGTGTGTTAAGTAGATCAAAATAAGAATAGAGCTAAAACCGTTAAAAAGAAAACAGCAATTCATGCAAGTTATGAGAAACTGGGGAATGAGCTTTTGTTTCTCTTGGTTGAGAGGTAGACATAACACCAGGCAGAGAGCAGCTGCCTTCCACCACAGACAGAAGATGCTTCTAGTATAGTCACACCAGCCAGAGAGAAGTGCTCTCAGAGTTTAGACAAGAAAGCGGATTAAAGGACTGAGAAAGAACATTCCTAACTAATTTCTTTTAAATGAAATCCAACACAGGTCAAAAGAGCTACTTTTGTCCAAACTCAGTCAAACCTGATTCCTAGATGACTAATGTAAGCATCAGCAAGCCAGGTAGCAGCCATGGTGCTCGTGGCTCACAGAGGAGCATTGTGCTTTGGAGAAACCTGCTTGAAGCAATTCAATAAAAATGAATTGACCTTAGGATGGAAAAAAAAAAAAATGGGTTTTATAGAATTATTGGGTGTGATCTAATGACTGTACTGAATAAGCCAAATTCCAACAATAGGTAATGCTTTTAAGCATGTTGCCAGGTTTTGTTTCATGCATATGTTGCCAAAATAATCCTTTTGCCTACATAGAAGGTAGTCAGTGAAACTTAACTTCTGGTAAGCACTTACGAGAGGTTTCTACAAGCAAGCAATCTTTTAATTTATATTCTAAAGAGGTTTTGCATTAAGGCCTTCCCCCACCACCAATCATCAGTATACTGACAATCTTCAAGTCTTGATTACTAATGAGGAGGAAAATCACTGGGGTAGAGAGAAACTAAACATAAATAAGATTCTTTGTGCTCATTTTTCCCCTGAGAATACCCTACAGCAGAGCATGCTCGAGCCATGTGGGATACAGGAGGTTTAAGCTGACAGAGTTTAACTACAAGGGCTTTGGTGAAGAGAACACTTGCATTTTCAAACCAAATGCTGCTGCATGAACTATCATAAAGGAGAGAAACAGGAAGTGGTGCTGAGGGACAGAGGACTTTAGGGCATTAACAGAGCCAGGTGGGCAAGGCAGCATACCTTTAAGGATGAGCATGTTTTTAAGGAAAACACTATTCCAGAGCAAATGCTGTTAAGTCCTGCTCCTGGGACTAAGTAATGCAGAAATCTTGCTGCAACCCCATGTTGCCTCCCTTCTGCGTCATTTTCCCCAGCAATCCAAGGATCATCTGCACGGCAGATGCTAAGTCTTCATCTGACAGAAAAGCCAGTGGAGATGGGCTGTGTTGAAGCACACCAACTGCCAGGTACCATTTGATGCTCACTCAGTAGTGCTGCAAAGGGAAGCTAGCATAGGGCACCGAGAGGGAAGGTACTATCTCCTTGTGCATCTCTAAGCAACGGGCAGCCAGATAAACTTGTGGTAGTAAGCAGCATCCATGGTATCATTAGAAACAACCTGGGTTCAAAATCCCAAGTGTCCATATCAATATTTCCAGGGTCTTGTTGGCCTTCTCAGTATTTTATTTGATATTTTAGAACTATTTAAAAAAATTATCCCCTGGGCATAAATATAAAATGATTCCTTAAAATTATCTGGAATATCCAACTTCCTTATGGATTGTTAAAAGAACACACTTACCCCTTGAAAAACACCAGGGAATGATAATTTCCTCATTCGGAAATCAAATGCTCATTTTCATGGGTCATTAGAGATGGATAGCTCTAAAGGTAGTCTAAATCTTTAAACTCCCCTGTCCTTTAGCAAGGGGAGAAAACCAGGAGAAAAGACAAAGGAAATAATGAACATTTGCAAGGCCACTAATGAGCTATTGTGGGTCATTACTTTTATTTCCAATAGGAATTTAAATTACAAACTGCTTTGAGAATCACTTGCATTAGGCATTTACTTTATAATGAATGTGACTGCAATTTTAAAAAGCTGGTGTGCAGGATGGTAGAGAGACCATAAAACCCCCAAGTTACATATTGAATTGTGTGTACACATAATGACTGTATTATTTCTAAGGAATTAACTTCCCCCTCCTCCCTCCCAACTTTCCAGACTCTGAATCATTTTCTAATAGGATCTCAACAGGCAATAGTATTAAAAATGTGTTAGATGTTAGCATCTGGGCCAGGAAAACCACGACAATCTAATATAGAGAATATAACCAGGGCATTCATCTAAGACTGCCATCCATCTTTCCATTCTCTGCAGTGTCCCTCTCCCACTTCAGGGTACATAGATTGAGCAAGTCCTTGGAATAATGACCTTTAAATGAGGCAAAGCCTACCTGACGATGTTTTCTTGCCAGGCAGGTTGCAGGTCTTAGAGAACGGATACCCAAACTACAGCGGTCTTCCTTTTGGTAATGGTGATTCGAATTGAGAAGTCATTTCAGTACATGAAGGCAGACTAAAACACCAGCAACCTCATTCCATTGAAGGGAAAAGAGAACACCAAAGCCTCAGGCATCATGATTTTAACATTTGATTTTCGTTCCACAGTGGAACAAAAATGAAACCTTTCAACAATCCTCGTGGAAACTTCCAGGAGAGACAAGCCAGAGTAATGAGCTTGCTGGGTGGGTAAGATCAGCAAACTGGAGCAGCAACACTGGGAGAATTTGCAAAACAGTCTGACTCCATGTCTTCACATTTGATACAAAAGATTCAGATTCAAGAACCTTCTCCAAATTAAGCAAATCTCATTAGAGCTATAAGCAGTCTGATCAGCAAAACTTATTCTCTTCTGGTTGTTGATTAAATGGCTTCTTTAATAAAAAGTTATAATTTTGGGGGATTAATTATAATCCTTGCAAGTGTGGAAAACAATGAAATGTTGTTTTGACCAGCACAAAATTCACTGTCTAGATTTAGGATGTCCATTTATTCTCTTCCTGTTTATCACAGTAGAACAGATGAGGTCACATTGGGAAAAGAAAAACAAAGACCTAAATGAAAAATACCTGTGTATTCACAGTATATATACTTTTCCTGAGGTATCCAGGGTAGTTAAAAATTAATCACTCAGCTGCACAGGGCATCATATTTGGATGCCAGCGTGCTCAATTAAAGGCTTACTTCAGTAGTGCAGACTGTCAGGAAAACTGTAGCTGTCTTTGAAGGCTTAAAATTGCCAAAGGCAATATAGAGAGAAGGAAGAAAAGGCATTTTAAAGAAATTACGCTATTCACTTGTTACAGCTTAGGAATCTGTCTGCAGAGAATGAAGGAAACAAATTACTCTAGAACACTTGCAGTGGTTTCAGAGTGTAGTGGTTAAGCTCCCTCTGTTTGGGATAGATTCAAATACAGGAGCTGAACTTCAGTTTCATTAAAAACTTAAAACTAGAGCTTTTGTGCTTAGAAATATTTTGCTTTCCTACTCAAATATGCAGAATGTAGTAAGAACTGTGGACAAGACAGGGCCTCTTTGGACACTGTGCTCAGTCCCTTTATACTGCAGTTACCTGTCACATCATCTTACCATAGTCTGGGGAAAAAAGCAGTACACTTTACCCTAAATCAAGGCTGAATCCTGATAAAGGGCTCTCTTAAGAGTTCATCTCACTGATGGCTAAAGGGTTCTTCATTTCCAGCCCCACTGTGATCACAGGCAGGTTCAGACTTTGCTGGAAGTGGCATTTCACAAAGCAGACTCCAGGGCTCACAGCAAGTTGGCTAACAGCCCACCAGGATGATAGCTCCATCTGATGCTTGTTGATGTTCTCCTCAGTCTAATGTCTTCCTTTCCACTTTCAATCTCTTCTTGCAGTAACATGGACCAAATCTTTCTTTACATTATTTGCATTACAGTGGTCAATTTCCAGCAAACATGGGAACATGTGAGACACTTCCTTCTCAGGAGGCTTTGTTGTCTGAATAGAAGAGGCGGGGGGGGGAATGGAGAAAGAAAGAGACAGAAAATAGTTAAAGTACTGAACAAAGAGAAACTCTATCCTCCAGCTTCTCCACTCCAATCTCATGCTTCCAAAATCCTCGCTTGTTCTTTTCAGGGTAAGGTCATTGTCATGGTTTTTAAAAGAAAGATGCTCTTTGAGGACTTGTTTATCTTCAAAAATTTACAGAATACTGTAGACATTTTATTGTCTAACCCTTTCTCTCAGTAAGTACGCAAATGGTTGCTGAAATGGAACATTTTAACAAGCATTGCTACTGCAGCCCGGTAAATCTGCTGTATCAAAAAGGCCAAAAATTTCCAGCTCATTTCCTGCTCAGCCTTATAGAGCTGTGAGGAACTGTTTGCATGTCAGCTAAGCTGTATACAATTTCCACCAACTGTTCTAAAGAAATACTTGTTTCTTTGAAAAAAACACTTAAGAAAGTCAATATAACATCAAGATTCTGTTTCTTTTTCTAACATGGACATTCCACTTATGCCAATCAACTGACCCTATGTCAACCAAGAAGTTTCTTGCAATCCTTCAGTCGATAGGAAGAAATGATGAAATGTGTCAAGTTGGAAAACATATCCCTTCCAGTTGCTGGGCTTCACTTATAATTTGTATGTCTGTTTGGATGACCCTATTATGAATACATTAGTCCTTCTGACAACCATATAGCATCACAGCATCTCACTGCACCTCAGCATCACATTTCTAGCTCAAAGTGGTAAAATAGCAATTTGACCTTCTATGAAAATTTGGTCTAGTTGTAATACTTGCAAGGAAAATGGAGATTAATCCTTCTCAAATAGTCACCAACCAGCAAATTTTAACTAGGAAAACAGGATGAGGAAGGATAGAACAAAAGATTAATAAAAACATGAATACTGGTGTTCTTGTAGATTAACGTTAAAAAATCAATATAGATACCCACCGGAGAACAAAGTCAGTCATGTAAAAGGGTGAGGGCACTGTGAGATTAGATCTCAGCAAAGCAGAAACTTTAGAAGTTTCTGTATTGCATGGCTCACACAAAAGCATCTGTTGACAATATTAATACAGCTCTTGCTTCCTGTAAACTGTGCAACCATCAAAGCCTAGATAGTTTTTGAATTACCTTGCTGAATGAACCTGACATGATTTGGAAATCCGATGCAGAAGTGCGGTTGCAGTTTTGTCACCGATCATAAACATCTCTCTATAGTCCTCTGCAGTGCATGTGCTCCTGGTCAGGCTGGGAGCACTCTAAAGAAAATATGAATACAACTGAGTACATTTTGCACCTACTATAGGAACACCTCAGTGTTTCTAACAACTCTGTCTGTCTACAGAAAGAATTTCTGTGCTTAGTGAGTACTGACCCCGGAAATGCCTAACCAAGACAGAATGGTTTTTATTATTATTATTGTTTTAAGCAAGAGACAAAACAAAAAGGAACAAAAGTTAAAGCTGTTGTGACTGAATGGTGTTTATTTTATTTCCAAGGCTTAAATATTTGTAATGTTAGAATTAGTTAGAAATATTTGCAATTAGAATGCATAAAACACACAAGTGACAGGAAACAGAATCTATAGTAGACAAATGGGGCTACCCAGATACCGTTCACCTGAATTTTCACAGATTTGCTATCTGAATGTGATTATTAAAACCACAAAGGTATGAAGCAGAGCAGTGTTCTTTTTGTTACAAGACTATATGTAAGCATGTTGCATCCATTATTCACTGGTATTTTTACCTCTTATTTTGCTTTTGGCCATGAAGGTTTACGTCAAAACAATTTGTGAAGAAGCTACTGTATAAATTCCTCACATTACTGAGAATTGCAGGAAACATCAAACATTCGGTTCTGCATTTTGTTTCACATCTTTTCAGGAAAAAACCCTCCAGTTTTGGCTTGGTATTCTCATTTGAAATCATTCAGTCTCATATTTCATAAAAGCATTTATACAGAGCTGCAAAACAAGCACAGAAAAAACATTTTTGCTTTAATTAAACATATTCTTGCAGATCCAGGGATATTAAAAATAGTCCACTGCAGATGGACTCGTGCTTATATATTAAATCACAGGTTCCCCCAAAGTGAAGTATTTCATTGCCAAATTGCTCATAACTACTTACTGCTGCAGTAAGGGCAAGCCAGTCAGCAAGACAAAAATCTATCAAAAAGAGTTTCTACAGTTTTCACTGCAGGAGTACAGCACCGATTTTCTTATATTAGTTTTGCATAAATACAAAGACTGGAAACTTCTCCCTAGAAATGTCTTTAGAGCAGAGGTGAGACTCTTTGCAGAACCTCTTAGAAGGGCAATGCCATCTTCATGCTGTTGTCAAGGAGGGGAGGAAAGGGAAAAATGGTTTTGAACAACTTTTTGCCCCCTCCTGAGCAGAGACCATGCAGGACTTGTACAGTTGAAAAGTAGAACAAAACTCTACAGTACATTAGTAAAAATCATCTCACTGGCATCTCTCTGCTAACCATCTGTTATGGGAGGAAAATGTTCATTCTCATGGGTTCTTGGGTGGTTATTTATGGGTTGTAACTTCAGCTGAGAAATCCCTTAGTGTAACAAAGCATTGCTTGATCAAGTAACTGGTAAATCTGGCTCTTAGAACCTCTCTCCAATTTCAGTTTTCATTACCAACATGGAAGGTGGAAGACAACAACCATGGGTCTTAATTATAGAAAAATCTGTGAACAAATCACCTGCCTCCACAAAGAGGCCCTTGCACAGTGAGCACTTGTGCAAAGGTAGAGATGAGCATGCATATGCTCCTGGCATATTACAGTTTAAGTTGTCTCTTACAATTGGGTAACTGGCCCAAAGTGAAACAAGCAGCTGTTATTCCAAACTTCAATAGAGAAGCAGTAGGTGAGGGTTAAGTGGGTAATTCTAGGATAACATAATGGAATTGAACATGAGGCTTTAAAGGAAAACAATTTTGCTTTGACTGAGAGATTTACCCCACAGAACAGGGACAGAACAAGAAGTCTGGAAGGTTATTTTAACAGCAGTAATTTCAGCAGATTGAAATGGCCAAACCAACTCCTTCACCCAGAAAGAACAATTGAAGAAGAGACTGTGGATTTGTAAAACAAAGGGGCTACATTCTCTCCCCTTCTGTGACTGGCCTGCTGATGTGATTTTACACGTTCACTGTCATGCCCAAGAGCATGTTGAGTGCAGTCAGAGGCAGAGAGGAGGAGGGAGAGGCAGTCGGAAGTCAAACAAAAGTTCTATGAAAAGAAAGTCTGGAGTAAAAATAGCATGAAAGAATCCTATTCTGCTAGCAAGGAGCCAGATGTGGCAGCGCAACGTATCTAGAAATAGTGTGGGTCACAGATGGGTTTTGTCCATCTCTGTTTATCCTGATATGTTATCATTATTACTGCATACCAATGCATCCACTGCACATGTAAAGGGGATATCTCTGAGTAGTAAGTGAAAAGCAGAGTAATTACATTAATTTATCACACACCTTTGGCTGTTTCACCACCACCTCCCTCCTGAATACTCTTAGCCTTCCAAAAAAGATCTTACATAGAAAATCTCAAAGTGTTTAAGAGGGAGGAAACCAGTAGGGTTCTATGAAACATTAATAAGGTATCACAGAAAATGTCCTGAAACTACACTGGCTCCATTCTCCTTTTCCAGAAGTGCAAATCAGGAGTGACACCAGTGTGGGCACACTGCTGTTCTGCTAGAAGAAAACACCACAAGTCAGATCCAAGATCCATTGAGTGCAACTGCCTCCAGCACTAATCAGGCTTAATATGTCTTGTAAAGCTGTCAACCCTAATTAGGGTCACTATAGAACCTTAGCACTAGTATCTCGTTCATTGATTGATCTATGTCTTAAAACCAGTTTAGTTTTTGTCACCACTGTTGGTGTGGTTACCGTTGGCAATACTGTTGGTTATTCCAGGACAGCTCTTCTCTGTGGATGAATTCCCTCATTTTTAACCACTGGTTTGTGTGTTCCCCACAATGAGACGGGGTAAAAAGGCAAACAAACCTCTCTCACAAAAAAAAATCCCACCCCAAGCAGAGCAGTCTCTAGACTTGTGACATCTCAGGAGAGATCCTGATTCCCTCCATCCCCAACAAAGTTGTTCTGCAGGTGGTAGGCTGGCTCCCCTAGGGACAAGGATTATAATAATCTTCTTGTGCTTCATCACAGCCACTCACACAGTCCTTTGTGTCAGATGGATACTTGGATTGTCAACTGATTAACAAAGGAAACCAACATTTTCTGTCAAAGAATTGCAGGGTTTCAGAACTATAAGCCGACATGCTGGAATCATTTTGAAAACAAAAACCAAGCCAGAACAACAGATAGCAGTGCTGTGCTTTTACTTTGATGGGGTTTAGGCAGTGGGATCCTCAAGTAACTACAATGCTTTGCCAGGACAGATAGATAATGTTTGCTATTCTCAAGACTCTCTCCTCCCTGGCTCCCCACTACCTCTTTTGTGTGGTTGCTGATACTCACAGCTTCTTCATGGGATAGAATCACGAAATAGTTTTTTCTATTGCTGTCACATCTGCACCACAGAGATTTCCTGGATACAAGAAAGAGGCAACTTCTTTCTGGTGGGGTGTCCTCATCCCCCTTGGTTTCCCTTCCACATCCATTGGGTCAATGAGATTTAAAAACTGTCCCCATCTCATCCAGACATCAGTATACCTGCACTGAATAAGAGTCATGGCTATTTCTTACCTTTATAAATAACTGGTTGCTGTTGAAGCCTTCAGGCTGTTCAGAGCAATTCTGTGAATAAGAAATATTGACTTAATACATCTACACACACAGACTCGAAAGGGGGTTTTAGGTGCAGGGAGGAACATCCAATTGATCTGTTTCTTTGACTGAATGCAAAGTTACCTACAGACTCTTAACGCTGCTTTAAGCATTCAAGCCACATGCTATATAGGCACATCCTAGATTTCATTTTCCTGTGGATCAATATGAAC